TATATATATATATCTATATACATACATACATACATACATACATACATACATACATACATAAATACAAACATATTTATAAATATATGCACAGACACAGACACGCGCACACACATATATATATATACATACATACATACATATATATATATATATACATACATACATATATACATACATACATACATACGTACATACATACATACTTATATATATATATAAGTATATCTATTTACCAATACACTCTTCTCACATACGAATACAACTTATAATACTATTGATGTTCATGTGTGTAAAAACAATACTATATATATATATATATATATAAATATTGGGTTGTATTACTGACAATATGCAAGTATGTAATAAATTACTTCTTCATGCACTTATCAAACAACATACTTGTCCATGCGTGCTAGCTTCATATACGGCTGAACCTTCTTGGGTGCAGCATTGACCAACTGGGCAGCATAGCCCAGAGTGGGGGCTGTTGCATTAGCACTGCTAAATCGACGTGCTGAACTGCTAAAAGTACGCAATGCGATGTTTAACGTCGATTGTAGGCATTGCGGTTTGGTATACTTACGCATAGCGTTGTACGGTAGTGACTCAGTGGTACTACCTTTAATGCTGTTAGTGCTACTTTTGATACTGTTTATACGTCTATGCACGGCATACGTAGGCCCGGGTCTCGGTCTTTCAATGCGAATATGTGCCTGTGCGAAAGCGTGTAAGCGTGGAGCAGTTAGTGATCTCTGCATGATGTTTGTACACCGTTGCGGTAGTGTCTGCATTCGCATGTAGCCTGTAAAAGGGATATGACTCGTGAGTGCGTCCGCGCAGACTACTAGTGTTCTAATAGCCATAGTAATCACTATTCGTGCACCCGACTATGATAGCAACTATGTAGTGAATACATGTATGTCTTGTAGTATTTAAAAATATTTATGGTTCGTCCACATGCTTCTTGTGCCATACCTTTATATATACAGAGGTGTATAAATATATATCCCTCTGTGCTGATTAAAGGACATGCGCTCCATTTGGTGTTCGTTCTCTCTGAGGTGGTTGAATTGTTGATTTTCATTGGTGGACATGATAGTGATGCATATGAATGGTTGATGACCTGTTGTTTAGGGTATAGGGTTTTAGGTTCAGGGTTTTAGTTTTAGGGTCTCAGTTTTAGGAGTTTAGTTTCAGGCCAAGGGCATAGCCCTCTAAATCATACACCCAGGGCCAGGGCCCAGGGGGCTTGGACCATAGCGGGCGCGGCACATAAATAGTACATAGTCTTCTTTTTCTTAGGAGTGGCTAAAGCTGAAATATCTGTGGCAAAAACAGAAGTGACCTCACGAGTCACGACTCGCCAAACTCTCAATACAATTCACACGCCCTGTGAGAGTGTGAGTTTGTGAGTTGTGAGGCTGACAGACTGTGGCTGGGAGCCTGTGACGTATGTATTCATTTAAGAAAAAAAAACCATTTAAAATAAAATAAAATACACACAGGCATTCTCTCAGAGAGCTATTTAGTAAATATTTAGAGGAGCAATCCTTGCGTGCGTAATACTATTATTGCGCTAATCGTACACCTCCGTGAAATCTATACACTTCTTTAGTTAACTATCAGTGGTGCGTCCAGCAGACCCTATTTCGCGACTAAGCCCAATATAAAGACAAGTTATAAACATTCCTGTAACTATGCAACGCCTAGCAACGGTGCGCACCCTGACAGCCAGTACAATGCCTGCGTTTCGGGTGCATTCGAGGTCTGTTTCGAATGTTATGAATAAGGGGAGTTTAAACACTACACATTTGATCACTAAAAGTATTTCTACGACTCTTTGTAGAATGAGATTGCCTTGTAAACACACCCTTAAAACACACATGTCACATGCGGGGAGTATGCAAATGAGTTATATAAGGGCATTTTGTAGCAGTATTGTACGAAGACAGGATACAGGCAAGCAGCCAGAAATAACACAATCCACAGATGCACAATTACAAGGCGACGCAGATATCCTCGATCCTTCTATTACAAGTGCACACGGAACGGAATCAAATACAAGCTCACAATTGGAGGAATCGGAACACGATCCATTGTATATGCAAGTAGAGATTGACAGTGAAGACGAGGAAAGCGATGGTGAGGGTAGAGGAAGAATGGTGGATGCTAACGAGGTCAGGGCGACAGACACAGCTACACGATTGGAACTGGAGGACATTGTGGAGATGCTGAATTTAAGTCATTGCAGGTGTGTGCAGTTAGAGGGGTATGTCCGGGGTAGGGGAGGTTAAGCGGGTTGAGACTGTGTATGCAGGTGTAAGAGTTTGATCATGTGTTAACAGCCATAAGAGGTAATGGTACGCGTA